CCAGGCCAGTTGGGGCTACAGGGAGACCAACAGCTGCAGTAAATCTTAACAAATATTGTGTTCTAAATTGACATAACTTTTCCTGCAGAAACTCATTAAATTCTCACTCTATCCCCTCCAAAGAGATCTACCCACTCAATGGTTAGAAGTATGGTAAAAGAGAGGCACTGTTCGGTTTTTGTCCTACTAGTCCTTCAGAGCACTTTCTAATTCATCATAGAGAGTCTGGCCCAACTGTCTTCCAATGACTAGGTAAGTCCCAACCCTGTACCCCAAACAAAGCTTGACTTAATTATTTTGAACTCTGAGAATCTCAACAGTAAATAATTTGCATGTTTTCTATGTGTTGTCTTATGCCAAAATGCATTATCTTCTTAAACCTAGACAATAAATTCTATGATTATGATCTCTGCTTATAAATGAGAAATAAAGCTTGCAGTTTAAGTACTTTGCACAGTATGGCCCCAGGATTAAGTGAAGGAGTTAAGATCTGAACCTAGGTCTAATTGTAAAGCTGAGTTTTTCTGCGTTCTGTACTGATTCTCATTTTACATTAAAAATGAGAGAGAAGGCCAGATGTGGTGGTACATATCTTTGATCCCAGCACTCCAAATTAGAGGCAGGTGGATCTCTGTAAGTTCCAGGCCAGCCTAGTCTACATAGCAAGTTCCAGGCCAGCTGGAGCTACAGGGAGATCCTGTCTCAAAAAAAAAAGAGAGAGAGAGAAAAAAAATGAAGTTCAGATATGAAAGTTTGTTAGATTACCTATCAAATTCATGTAAGGGCAATATCCTGAACCTGCAGACAGTTATCTCTATTGTTTCCTTCACTAAATTATAAATATTTTAATAGAAATTAAAATTTTTTTGTCTCTCAAATCTTTAAGTTTTTTTTTTTTGGAAACAGGGTCTTGAGGTGTCAAACTTGAGATCCTCCTACCTCAGTCTCCCAAGTGTCAGGACTATAGGCATGTGACATCAGGCCAGCCAGGATCAAGTATTTTATTAACCATTTGCAACATTATTTTGGCAAGTATTTACTGATCTATATATGTCAAGCACTATTTTTGTGACTTGGGGTTAGAGCAGCATAGCCATGACACCTGAGAAAAACAGACAATAAATAAACACATAACAAGTAAATAAAGTAATTTTCATGCATTGAAAAAGAGATGATGTGCTGAGCATGGTGCTGCATGCCTCTTAGGAGGCAGAGGCAAACAGATCTCTGTGAATTTGCAGTCAGCCTGATCCACAAAGCAAGTTCTAGACCAGTCAAGGCTACATAGTGAGGCCCTGTATCCCCCCCAAAAAATAATAATAGAAACTGAAAGTGGTAAATATTTGGGACTGACCTACATTAAGAAGGTAGCAGGATTTGAAGAAGCCTGAAAACCAGGCAGAACAAATGATACTCTTGGAGACCATAGTAAAAGAAATTTGGAAACAAACCCTGTTGCAACAGACTATCACAAGAAGGTTTAGAAGCAGAGGCATGGTGTCATTTCCAAAGCGTATGACTGCCAAGCAAGGTGGTAAGTATCTATAAGCTCAGCAACAGGGAGACAGAGACAGGAGGACTGCTGTGGGTTTGAGGCCAATCTGTTTGCAATGAATACCAGGCCAACCAAGGCAACCCAGCAAGACTGCCTCAAAAACAGAATGAAGGAATGAAAGAAAGGAAGAAAAATGAATGAATACTATAGCCAAGCCTGAATAAATCCATGGAACTTGCCCATAGGATACGTCTTCAGGAAGAATACTTGTCTTCACCAAATTTTCTTTATAGTGAATAAAAATCTTTTATTATACATTATGAAATTAAGGATACAGTGACAAAACCTAAGAACTTAAAGTAGAGTTCAATGGTAGTGCTTGCACAGAATGTGAGAGGTCCTGAGTTAGATCCCCAACACCACAGAATGATAGACAGATAGAAAATATATCTGGAATATCTAATACAGTCACTTAAATTTACAGAGGTCTAAATTACAAAATAATGGATGGCAGAAGAAGAGAAGCAAATGTGGCATCAGAGCCAGGCGTGGTGGTGCATGCCATAATCTCAGCACTCTAGAGGCAAAGGTGGATCTCTGAAAGATTGAGGCCAGCCTGATCTACATAGTGAGTTCCAGGTCAGCTAGGGCTACAGGGAGGTCCTGTCTCAAAAACAAAAACAAACAAAACAAAAAAAGGAAACACAAAACCAAATGAAAACCAGGCCTAATACATCAACTATTTCTAATCATACCCTTCACCACTTATGTTTTATTTACTGATATTCATTAAGTATAAAAACAGATGTCTGTAGATTTATCTTTAATCATTTTAGAAAGTTAAATTCCATCCCACTATGAAACAGATATCAGGTTTTAGAAAGCCAAAATCATTTAACTTTATTCAAATTATATAACATGCACTTCAACTTAAGTATTGTCCTCCTAAAGCAGTTCTCCCACCTGCCTTCATATCAACCAAAGAAATTAGCTCAGGCATGATATCAACAGCAGAGGCAAGAAAACTCTGGTCCCAGTATATCTCATTATTGTTGACTAGAGAAAAAAAAAGGCATAGTAACTGTCCCACAAAGCAGAGATAGGAACCAACTTATTCTTGAAAACAATGTAATCACAGAGTTAAAGCACCAGAGACCAAAAGCAGGGTACACAGAAGGGCATGGTGGCGCAAGCCTTTAGTTCCAGCACTCCGGAGTCAGAGGCAGAGGCAGGCAGATCTCTGTGAGACAGAGGCCAGCCTGGTCTACATAGCGAGTGCCAGGCCAGCTAGGACTACAGGGAGACCCTGTCTCAAAAAAGTAGGATATACAAAAATTCTCTCACATCATTTGGTTAAAATGTTTTACTACAGGGTGGGGGGTAGAGAATGAATGTTCTCAAATTAGCACTGTTTGCTACCATTGGTATACCAAGTACATTAAACATTATCTTACAGAGTTAATGGTAGGGGAAAAATCCTAACTACACCATGTTACTGAGTAAACTTGACATTTCTGAGCCCTAGATTCCTCATTTGTAAATCAATGACTTAAAAAAAAAAATACAGCCGGGCGTGGTTTAATTCCAGCACTTGGGAGGCAGAGGCAGGTGGATCTTTGTGAGTTCGAGGCCAGCCTGGTCTACATAGTTAGTTCCAGGACAGCTGGGGCTACAGGGAAACCCTGTCTCAAAAATGACCAAAAAAAAAAAAAAACCAAAAAAACCCCCACTACTTCTGGGGGCTGGAGAGATGGCTCAGTGGTTAACTGCACAGATTACTCTTTCAGAAGACCCAAGTTTGATTCCCAGCACCCACAGGGCTGCTAAGAACCATTCTTAACTCCAGTTCCAGGGGAATCCAACACCCTCTTCTGACCTCTGAGGCATTGCACGACATGGGTGCACTCACATACATGCAAGCAATACACTTGTACACATAAAATAAAAATAATATTTTTAAAAATCTACTTCTTAGTAGATTATAAATTTACATTATAAAATATAATGAAATGGTTGGCATGTGGCAGATAATATGTGAGTCTTTGAAAGTGACAGTATATTTGGTATTGCAGATTCTAATTTCACCTCTTGGCAAGAAATAAACTATTAGTCTGATAATGGTAAATAGAGATTACCTCTCAATACCCTTCTTAGCACTATGTTTCAAAGAACCACAAAACAATTGTCCCATCAATAACTTTAAACACAGAGTTACAAGTTTAGATTTATAATTTTGCAAGCTTTATCTACTTGTTCCCTAACAGGTAAACACAAATCAGTATAGAGGCCAGCATTAGGGAGGCAGAGGCAGGCAGAGCTCTCTGAATTTAAGGCCAGCCAGGTGTACATAGTGAGTTCCAGGCCAGCTAGGGCTACAAAGTGAGGCCCTGTCTCAAAAACAAATCACAGGGGCAATGGCAGAGTGCAGTAAGAAAGCTGGATACTAGGTCTCAGTGGCAACATGCTATAGATAGGAAGCAAACTAAACCCCAAATATATGTATATGGAGTTAGGGTTAAGGCTACTTGGAACTCACTGTGTAGCCCAAACTGGCCTCCCACTCCTGGCAATCCTCCTGCCTCAGTCTACAGGCTGCATGGATTACTGGCTCGTGCCACCACACCCAGTTTAACACGCGCTGCTTTAGGGAAACTCTTCTATATTAAAGGAGAGGTGTGGGATGGGCCCCACAGATTGAAGTAAAAAAAGTAATAACCAGAAAAAAAGTATTATATACGAAAAAAAAGTCACATTTCTCATTTTGATTACTTATGAAATCAAACTCAATTCTGTAAAAATGTACTTCAGGTGATTAAAAAGTAGCCAGATACATCTGACTTTGGTACTAATGATGACACTGATTACAGTTTGGCAGTTGTGTCTCGACAATGTTCAGAAGTCTGTATTTTTACTGCTGCAAACAGATAAAAGGAAAACAGGTGGTCGCCTCGGAGCTCTACAATGCTTCAGTTGCCTAGCATTCATCCAGGTAAGTCGCTCTCTAAAGCACATCATAAATTTCACTCAGGTTCATCGAGATAAGGCCCCTTTCCATGCATATCACAAGTTTCACGTCAGCGGAAAACAGAATGGTCCAACACGGTCCAGTGAAGTGGACTTACGCTGCTCAAACCACAGCCTGTCTACTACCGAGAAAACCCGAAATTAACACAAGGCCTCTAAGAACTAAGCGGACACGACCACTGCCGTGGAGGTTCAGTAAAATCGACAACACTTCTAACGAGGCTCTAGTGAAACCCGGATCTCTACTGATCTAGGCCCAACGGCCCAAGGTCACACCAAGTGAGCGGCTAAAAAGCCCAAGCAACGAGCCTCCAGGAGGCAAGGCACCCGGACTAGGAATGGAGTCCGCCTGGCAACACTCAGATCCGAGCTCCACTGTGAACAGCCCCAACCGAATGCAGCGACGGCGGGCAGAGCCAGGCGTTTGGGACCGCGGCCCCATCCCCCGGCCTCCCCAGGGCTAGTCACCCCCGACACTCACATCTCCGCAGCCACTTCATCCAGTGGTAGACGATAGTACTGTGGTGTTTCTTGTTCTCTATACACCAAGACGACAAGCCTTGAATGGATTCCATAGTGTTGGTCACCGACTGGAATTTTCGGTCCAACGAAGACTCCAGGGCCCCTGCTGACGAGGCCGACGAGGAGGAGGCCTTACTGCTGCCTCCGCCGCCGCCGGCCGCCATCTTCCCGAATTACACAAGCGCTGCTGGTCCTCAGGCGGCGGCGGCGGCGAGAGCGGGCAAAACAATCACTGCGAGTGCGTGAAAGCAGGAGGAGGGGAGGGCGGCCAGGGGGTGGGGATGCTGCACGCGCTCCGGGAGCTGCGGGCCGTCGGCTAGACACTCTGACTGCCGGGCACGCTGGCGGCCCCCCCACGCCGCCGGGAGGGCTGCGGCCTCCGAGGCTTATCCGTATGCTTGGGGGTCGTGTGTAAACCAGTCAGTAACCGAGACAGAATTACGCAGGAAAGACGGCTTGCAACGCCTTTCACAACGCCCAGCGCCGGCTAAAGGTTTTATCCGCCACGGTTCTCGACTCTAAGGCCTCTGCCCACGCTCGGGTGAGCCAGAGAGGCGTTACTACCATAAACGTGACACTACCCGACTGTCCCGTCAGTTGCAGAAATCTTTTCCTTTAGGGTTCCCAGCATAGAAAAGACCGAAAGCTACCTAGTCAGAATTTTTTTGCAACGCAATAGCAATGGACCAGCAAAAGCAATGCGCACGCGCAGACTACCCCCGCCCCTCTGCTTCCTTCTCAGCCTTCAGAGCAGAAGGAGGCGTGATGGCGCTGCAAGTTGACCAATCAAGTGAGGGGTCCGTGAAGCGCGGGCAGGAATCCGCAAGTCCAGAGAGCCGAGGAGGCACTGCCTTTACTTGTGCGCCTGCGCGTTAGAGATGCGTGTAGCGCGTCGGGAGGAAAAGCCGGGAGGGAAGCGTGAGGGAGCATCCTATGCTGCGCCCCGCCTTTAGCTTCACAGGGCGGTGACTTTCTTGAAGCTGTTTAGCTCACACAACAGGGCCAGGAAATTCCCTCCGTCCAGTGGCCGCTGCATCAGCTATCACCCCCTCATCGGCCACAGACCCGAGACAAAATGGCTGTCAGCCATCTTGCGGCGTCGTGGAAGGTGCGCATGCGTCACGTCCAGTTAGTCCTTCGCTACGCAGACTTCCTAGGCTAAGCAGTATTACACCCCCGCGTTGGATGTTAATAGTCATAGCTGGGTTGTAAGAAGACGGATAAATGAGAAAAACGAAATTTTCTCTCTAAAAAGTTTTCGACGAGAGAAAACTATGTTTGGCAAGATGTGACCACTTTTGGTCAGTTATGATAATCCCACAACTGCTTATTATAGTTAACAAGAGCCTTAAGGCTTGCGTCTATTAGCAGCCTCAGATTAGCCAGTCCATCGCATCTGCATACGTGAATCCTCGGCAGAGTTGGAGGTTCGTGTTTCCTACTTAAGCAATATTATGTCACCCGAAAAAACTCAAGGTTTTTGAGGCAAGGAACCTATTTTAGTCAACTTCACATCTTAGTATTCACTAATATCCTTGTTTTAGGACTTGGGAAATGACAGCAAAACAGGCAAACGTCCCTCTGGTTTGGTTTCGTGTCACAAAGAAGCAAGAAACAGGTTTAAGGGGGAGAGATCTGGTATGTGAACGGAAATGATATAAACTGGCAGGCTTCTTTTAGACATACTTGAAAGGAAGACAAACTCAAATGGGATGAGGAAGATGCTGGCAGAAAGAACAAGTGCAAAGTCCCTAAAACAGGAGTGTTAACATTTTAGAGGAAGAACAAGGAGCCAGTGTAACTGGCAGATAAGAAAGCCAATAAAACAAGCAGGAGAATGAATAGGAAGGCTGAAAGGAAGGGAACATCATGTAAGGAAACCGGTAAGGATTTTGGGTTTCTTTCTTTTTTCTTGTGAGATAGGGTCTCACTATGCAGCCCTGGCTGGCCTGGAACTTACTAGGTAGACCAGGCTAGCCTCAAACTCACAGAGATTCACTTGCCTCTTCCTCTGTTGGGTCTAAAGGAGTGCACACCATATCCAGCAGACTTTGGGTTTCTTTTATTGTTTTCTACATTTTATTTTTATGTGTATGAGTGTGTTGCCTGTGTTGCGCAATACCCCAGGAGACCAGAAGAGGGATTCGGATCTCCTGGAGCTGGAGTTACAGGTTGTTGTTAACCAGCACCTGGATGCTGTGAATCAAACCTGGGTCCTCTGCAAGAGTAGCCCGTGATCTTAACAGCGTAAGCAATTTCTCCAGCTCCTTATTGTTTTTTAGATTTCATGAGTGTTTTGCCCAAATGTACGAAAGTGCACCGGTATCATGCCCAAGGACGCCACAAGAGGGCATCAGATTGCTGCCCTAGAACTGGAGTTAAGGATGGTGGTTACCTGCCATGTTGGTGCTGTGAACTGAACTTGAGTCCTTGGAAGAGCAGCCATTGCTCTTAACCACTGAGCCATCTCTCTGGCCCCTACTTTGGATTTTTTAAAATATTATTTTTATTTTATGTGTATGAGTGTATTGTGTACATGTATGTGAGTGCACCCGTGTTGTGCAATGCTGCTGAGGTCAGAAGAGGGCGTCAGATTCCCCTGGAACTGGAGTTAAGGACAGTTTGTAGCTGCCATGTGGGTGCTGGGAATCAAACCCGGGTCCTCTGCAAGAGCAGTCAGTGCTCTTAACTGCTGAGCCATCTCTCCAGCCCCATACTTTGGATTTCTTAAAGGCAAAATTACTGCAAATTTCAAGGCTTTAATGACATTCGTGATCCAAGAATCAGGCAAATCGTCATTCTGTAAAACAGAATGAATCTGCTGATAGGTTGAGCAGAAGTTTGGCATTATAGAAAGAAAAGGACTGAGGAAAGGAGAAATATAAGATTCCCTCCAAAGGTTAAAGCAGGGGACCTCCTTATGCCAATTGTGACAGACTTGTTTGGTGATTTGCCTATTAACTCTTCCCTGGTTGTTTGGGGATCAAACGAAACAACTTAGTTTCACTTGGTGATAAGGAGCTTAGCATAAGAATCCATTTTGGTTTGGTTTGACCAATAGCCTTCTATAAATTCTAAGTTTCTAACTGAAATAGTAAGTACTTTTTAGTCAGAGGAGCATTGCTGTTGGGTGTAGTATGTGTGCATGCATATACCCATGGAGGCCAGAGGAGGAGGAGAAATCCAGCCATCCTGCTCTATCAGTCTCTCTACCTTATTCCTTTGAGACGGTCTCTTATTGAGACTAAAATTAGGCTGGTGGCCAGCAAGCCCCCAGCAACCTTCCTGTCCCTGTCCTCAACAGGGCTGGGCACCGGCCACACCTAGTTTTTTATGTGAGTGCTGGGGATTTGAAGTGTCAGGCCCTCTCCCAATCCCCAA